TTTTTTTTTTTTGAGACAGAGCCTCAAGCTGTCACCTTGGGTAGAGTTCTGTGGCATTATAGCTCATAGTAACCTTCAACCCCTGGGCTTAAGCGATTCTCTTGCCTCAGCCTCCTAAGTACCTGGGACTACAGGTGCCCACCACAACACAAGGCTATTATTTGCTTGTAATTGTCATTGTTGTTTGGTGATCCCAGGCTGGATGAGAACCCAGCCAGCTCTAGTGCATATGGCTGGCGCCTTAGCCGCTTTAGCTATAGGTGCTGAGCCAGTTTCCAAATTCTTAGCCACATCCAAGAAGTAAATCAAAAAATAGGTTTAGATATGCCAAGGTAAACATCATGGTTGGTGATACTGTTGCCCTTGGTGCTAGTGGTATGGAGACAGAGCAGAGCTCTTTCTAACTTGCCCCAGAGAAGACTTGGGCCTTCCTGCCTGTGTCCAGATTTTTTTACAACACAGGATCTTATGGTCATGAAAACCACGTGGTGGAAGCCTGCATGGGAGACCTTTGGAAAATAAATTTAATTGTCAACTACCTCCCTCAAAATGTAACCCAGGATAAATTACTAAGTCTGTTCAGCAGTACAGGTGAAGTTGAATCCGCAAATGGGGTAAAGTAGCAGGACACTGCTTCAGCTGTGGCTTTATAAACTATGTAATCTCAAAAGAGTGGTCTCAGGGGAGCAATCAACACTCCGAAGGGCCTGAGGCTACAGTCAGATACCATTAAGGTGTCATTTGCTGTCCCGAACTCAGAAGTCATCAAACATGCCAACATTTGCATACTCTCAAGGACCATGTTCTTTCAGTATGGGCAAATCATCAACTCTGGGTCCTATGGATCAGACCACAGGTTTTTCCAGAGAGGTTTTGGTTATCCGGTTTGACACATTGTCAGAAGGAGGCAATTACCACTTTGAATGGTCATAACGCCCTGGGTTCCTCCAAGCCCATTACTGTGAAGTTTGTAGCCAATTCCAAGGAGGACACAAATTATGGTGCTCTTCTTATAGCTGTACCAGCCTCCAGCTAGAATGTTTGTTTAGAGAACTGGTTCCCCACCATGCCAAAGATTTAGATTCTCCCTTATGGGTCATATGGGTTTCTGGTCCTGATGTTCCAGGAAATGCTTCTTCAGGCTGAAGTATCTTGATCTACAACCTCGTTTAAGACACCAGTGGAGGGATCCTCTGGAAGATGTTTGGGCCCTTTCACACTCTCAGAAACATGAAAATGATTTGTAATTACACAATCAACAACTGTAAAGGGTTTAACTTTGTGACAAGACAAGCTATGAAAAAGCTACAATGGCTGTAGGAAGAGTGGCTGCTGCCTAGGGGATAAAATTTTATAAGTTTCCTCCAAATCCAACAGATCCCACAAATAACTCAGTCATGCTTTCTTTCATATGGAATAGATAATTAAGAGTGACAAAGTTGAAACATTTTGTTAGTGTACAATTGATTTTACACCAATTTTCACAAGTGTTTGTCTTAGTCTGAACAAAAAGTGAAGTTTTTACTCTTTTGGATGCAAACAATGTGTTCAAATGTTCAAAATCCCCCAATGTTAGACCAATTTTAAGTTTTGAAAATTATTTCCTTTAACATACATATTAAACAGAAACCTAAGTAGACTGCATTGTCTAACCGGTCCCTCTGATTGGTGGTGAAACTGGAACATGCTTTAATGTCTATTGTCTAACACTAGTTTCATTTGATGTTTCCATGAACTGGATTAAAAATAAATGATATTTTAGTTTTAGTTTTTAATCTAAAGATGTTAGGCTGATGAAGAGTATGTGTTTTCTCAACCACTTCAATATTTTAATCAATTTATACTTTGGTTGATAGAAGTTATTTTCTCACCTCCTGCTCACTCAGTCCCAGGCTTTGCAAGAGGTTCTAGGAGTGGCAGAGGCCTATCTAACTTGGGCCAAGACTAGGGAGGGGTGGTCTCATGCCATGATAAGCCCTCCGGAGAAGGATATAAACTTATTTCATAAGCCCAGGCACCAATGGGAATGGACCAAAAAGTTTCAGGGGACCTGCAGTATATTCCAGAGTCAGATCTAAGCTCCAGGTACACCTGAAGATGTATTGCTACTCTGGCAACCCAAATTTCTATCCACACAATTCCTGCATGGTGTCCCACACATCAAATACTGTTGTTCACAATAACTCTGGTTTCTTAGAACATTTAACATAGCTTAAAGGTGTAATATAGCTCCATTTTAAAATAACACATAAATATTTGAGCATTGTATCTCTCACATCCCTTCTTTAGAGTGCTAGACTTTCTATTATAGAAAGATTTTGTTTTGGAATTTTGCTTTCATATGAACACTCTGCAGAAAAGTACTTCTTTCCAGTTATCTATTAAGAAAAACCTTTGATTTGTAGTCTTTTGTTTTTTTAATGTTTTTTGTTTGTTTTTACATTTTTATTCAAAAACATTAAATTTATTTTGTTTTCCTTCACTAAAAAAAAAGGAAATGGAAAAGTAGTTATTTTTTAGCTAGTTAAAACTAACAATATCCAGGATCTAATAAAAAATTATCAAGCATGCAAAGAAGAAAAGAAAATACAATTCATAATGTAGAGAAAGTACATTCAATCAAAACAAATAAAAAAAGGCAGAAATGAGAGAATTATTAGGCAAGGAGATTAAAAATTGTTATTACTATTTCATATTTCAAGAAGTTAGAGGAATGATAATTTTTAGTAAAGACTTTCTTTTGAAAAAAGAAAGTAATAGACAATTATTTTGAAAAGTTTGATGTTTACAGATAAAAATGAGCAAAAAGTACATAGAATTCCCATATACTCCTCTACTGTCACTGATTTCCCTTATTTTTAATAAATTGCATTAGTATGGTACACTTGAGTAATCAACATTGATACATTTTTATAACTAAAGTCTGTAGTTTACACTCAATTGCACTCTTGTGTTGTCTATTCTATAGGTTTTGAAAAAGGTAAGCTATTTACCCATCTTTACAGTATCATACCAAAGAATACCTTCACTGTTCTAAAAATCACCTATGTTCCACTTCTTTATTCCTCCCTCCCACTATAAGAATCTCTGGAGAACACTGATCTTTTTACTATCTTTGTAGTTTCACTTTTTCCAGAATGTCTTATAGTTGGGATCATACAGAATATAGCTTTTTCAGATATTTTTTCTCAGATAGGTTATTCCATGTCAGTTCATGGCTTGATGGCTTATTTATTTTTATCACTGAATACTATTCTATTGCATGGATATACCACAGTTTAACTATTCACTTATTAAAGGATATCTTGGTTGCCTCGAAGTTTTGGCAATTGTGAATAAATCTGTTATAAACATTCATGTGATGCTTTTTCAGCTCATCTGAGTAAATACCAAGGAGTACAACTGTTGGTTCATATAGTAAGAGAATCTTTAGTTTTGTTTTTAAAACAAAGTGGCTTCCATTTTGGCTTCCAAAGTGGCTGTACCATTTTGAATTTCAACCATTAGTGAATGTACTCATTTTATTTTGTATACCAGTCCTGTATCTGATATGTATTTTGCAAAAATTCTTTCCTGGTCTGTGACTGTGTTTTCATTTCATTAACAGCATTTTTTTTTAACCAAGCAGAAGGTTTTAATTTTAATGAAGTCAAGCTTAGCAAATTTTCCTTTTATGGGTTGCTTTTTGTGCTTTTTGTGTTGTATTTAAGAAGTCATCACCAAAGCCAAGGTCACCTAGATTTTCTTCTATGTTATCTTCTAGGAGTTTTATAGTCTTTCATTTACAAATGGGCCTATTATTCATTTGGGGTTAATTATTGTGAATGATGTTAAGGTCTGTGTATAAAGTCAATGTTTTACAGGTGGCTGTCCGATTTTTCCAGCACCACTTTTTTTTTTTTTTAAATTGTTGTGGATTCACTGAGGGTTACAATGATTGCATTTGTTAAGTAAAGTCCCTCTTTTTTTTGAGACAGAGTCTCACTATGTTGCCCTAGGTAGAGTGCCATTGCGTCACAGCTCACAGCAACCTCCAGCTTATGGGCTTAAGTCAGTGGTTCTCAACCTTCCTAATGCCGTGACCCTTTAATACAGTTCCTCATATATTGTTGGTGACCTCCAACAAGAAAATTATTTTCAGGTTGCAGAATTAGGAAGGTTGAGAACCACTAGCTTAAGTGATTCTCTTGCCTCAGTCTCCCAAGTAGCTGGGACTATAGGTGCCTGCCACAATGCCCAGCTATTTGTTGTTGTTGTTGTTGTCATTGTTGTTTGGCAAGCCTGGGCTGGATTCGAACCCACCACCCCTGTGTATGTGGTGGGCGCCCTAGCCACTGAGCTACTAGCGCCATGCCTAAAGTCTCTCTTAT